AATATAAGTGAATAAAAATGAATCGATATTTTACATGAAACATTTTCTTCTAATCACAATGTTACGAAAGATTTATGGTATTCATATATATAAATATTTATTGTTATGTCGTCTTTTTTTTTCTTTAAAGTTATGAACACATATGAACAAAAATTACATTGTATATGAGGGTGTGGGTGTGGGTGTGGATGTGGGTGGCTGGGTGTAGGTGTGGGTGTGGGTGTGGGGTGGCGGTGTGTGGGTGGGTGTTGGTGTGGGTGGGTGTGGGTGTGGGTGTGGGTGGGTGTGGGTGTGGGTGTGGTTGGGGGTGGGGGAATGTGGGTGTGGATGTGGGTGTGTAGGGTGTGGGTGTGGGGTGTGGGTAGGTGTGGGTGTGGGTGTAGAATAATTTAAAGAGAGGATCCACACCCACCGAAATTATTCTACACCCACACCCACACCCGCACAAAATGTGACTTAACCAAACAGGTTGAAGTGACAAAATCTCGGTTATACTCAGCTGTCTCTATAGTTACGTATATAAAAAGACTTAAAAACAAGACACAACAAACACACGTTACGCAACAAACAATACCAACACCAGCATCGGCCATACTTCGTCGTTAACGTAAAGAAATCTTTTTAAAGCAAAATGTAGTCTACTATTTAAAAGATAAAAAAGGCACAACGATATGAAGAACACGTGGTACACACTTTATCTTGCTGTTTTATCATACGTCTACGGCTAAGATGGTCTGTATCAAACTGATTACTATGTACGAAAAATATTTTGACTGAAATTTTTAAGTCCAGAAATGATTAATCTTGTTGCATTTATTCGAGTTCAATGTATATTTTATTCAACTACAAATGGAATATTCAGTACTTGATAGTACGTTTTAGCATACAAACAAGGTTTGCCTGCTGATTCTGAAAGTAAATTCAAAAAACGTAACACACAAAGTTATGAATTTTTCACAGTACAGGGATTTGTTGACAAACAAGAATTTTATGATAAACTCGATGCACTGTATTCAATCATACGCAATAGCAGAAAAAAGTGTGCTTTAGATTATTTAGTAATGCCCGACCAGTGTACTATATACTTTTGGTCGGTATTGTAGAGGGCAATTCAACCTACACAATGACCGAAAAAAGTATTATCTGAAGTTATTTGTTATAAGACAATCACTCTTGATTACAGAATAAAATACAAATCTCTTGAATAACAATAAAACGAATTTTTGTCCGAAATACAAGACGAAAAAGTGAGCATTAGATAGGAAATCGATCTTGTTCTGAATCAGGCATAATAGTTCGGAGAAATCAGAACATCAGCTAGAATGACAAGTTGATCTTCGGTGAATTTTTCGCGGTGTTCATGCCATGAATCATGATGAGTACGACGAAATTCTGACAGGGCATTCTTGATTGATTTCTAAAACGAAAAATGGAATCTTATCTGATTTCACAAGACTTATCTACTCGAATGAGATTTGGATCGTGTGAATGTTCGCATAGAAGCATCAAAGCACGAGGAATATGAATTGGAATATCATATGGACTCGAAAGAACTATCGCACACAGACCAAGAACACCTACTCGAAACAAATATGACTGTAAAATTATCTATAACGCATAAATACACACCACCGTGTCTTTTGACAATATTCTCGGTTGATGTCACTTTCTTGCCATCGACTTTGATGTAATAGTTCATTTTGCTCATCAGACGAAAATATTCCTGTCAATCAAACAATATTTGTCAAGAAACTGAAGATAATCGTTTTTTACCAGGTCTTCCTTGGTGATTTGAATGAAGCCACATTGATAGAATCCAGCTAGAGTGACTGAGGCGATTGTTCGCACTTCGAGCTGTTCATCGAAGAGACATTTGAGAACAATTTCACGTATGCGTGGTGAAAAAGGACGAGCATTGAACAGATTACAGAAGACCATATGCTGAACAAATTCAATCGCAGCACGACGTGCATGCCACTTGGGACTTTTGCACACCTACACATCGGAGTGGACAATATTCCTCTGTTTATTTTCGATACATACATATCCTATTTGTTCGATGAATGCTTCTATAAAAGGGACATGCAAATAAGTAACAGCAATAGACATTCGACTGAGTGTTAAACTGTCTCGAAGGCTTTCATCATTGGCCACAATACTTTCGATGCTGCAGAGCTAAGCAAAACAAAGACAGGGGAAAATGTTTTCTGCTAAAAAAATAAAGCCTATAGTGATATATACGTGAGGAAATAGCCGAATGATTCCATGTTTTATTGGCTGTAGAGATCTGCCAGTTAGTTCTATGCAGAGTTGAATTACTAAGCAAGACATGAAATAAGTTGTTTTCAATAGAAGTACAGATCGTCGTTACCTGTTTCGATAAAGTTCAGTGCTTGAAGAGCTTTCGAATCGATTTCAACGATTTCACCAGAAATATTGGCTATAAAGAACAAATTTCTGTAGGGTTTGGAGTCAACGAAAAATCTACCGAGAGGCGTCTTTTCACAGATGTCTATCGCTCGTTGCAATCGTTCATGTATGCCATCGAAAAAAAGATTGACACTGGGATGGCGTGTTGATTGACCATTGGGCAACGTTATATCGTGACTGAGTGATATGCTGAGAACACTAAGGGATAAAGAGAAAGATCCTACGGCTAAAACTCTGAAATTCATCTCTTACGAAGCAATGCGCTCCCGTACGGCTTTGTATGGATGTTCCAGCAAGTCTTTGGCATGGGCATTGATTTCATGCCAAACTGCAGGAATGCGCCATTCGAAATTCCTCAGTTGTTCAACTAGATTCCAGCGAGATGTTTCAATGAATGTATTTGCTGTTGAAGGAGTGTTTATTAAAGAATGCATAAATTCAACAGTACGATACGTTCGTCGAGGATCTACATCGGCCTATTGAACAGAAAAGTTATTTCGTAGAATATTTTTTTATATGTTCAGACTGACCACAGCAAACCAGAAACAAAAAACCCAGTTAAGAACTGCTTCCGAACTGAGATTCATACAGAGTTCATTGAGAAATGGTGTGAGTTTGGACCAGAGTTCATCAAGCTAGAAGCATATTATATAAATAGACTAGAATCCTGACAGAGTCACTCACCATTTCTACCGTCCAATATTTTGATCCATGAATCATACCAGCAACAATTTCGGCGGCTACTCGTTGACTTCCTTCTTGTTTCTCTATTATCTTTTCACGAATAAGTGCATTCAATTGTTCCATGAAATGATCAACAAAGACCGAGCCAAAGTTTCGAAAGAGACCCTAGACATGTTTCATTCGAAAATGCGTGTAAATATCTTTGCTTTCTTTGATATATATTATCTAACCTTAAACATTCGAAATCGATTCACATCGAAACTGCTATCTGCTTCTTTATCCAATACCATTAATTGGATGAATTTTGCAATGAAGTTTTTGTCAATAAATCGATTGTACAAGATCGCTACTTGTTCTGGCATAGTCTCTCGCGTGTATCGTTCTCGTTTATTCAGTGGATATTTGATGATTTTCGGCCAGTTATAATAGCCATGAAAACTCTTATCCAAAAAACAGGTTTGTTCCCATTCGGCTTGGCTTTTTAGTGGTTTATAATCATTGATTGTCACCCATAAATTATCATCACGATCACCCGGATGACATTCGGTGTTAATTGGCCTATGCAGAATCTCCTCAAGCGTCTTTTCAACATAGATTCGAGGTAGTTTTTGCAGACGACATAGGGTGGAAATAGACGGAGAAGCTGCCTGAATATATGCATGAGATAATTTCTGTCAGTTAAATGTTTCAACTAACCATTCGTAATTTGACATTGTCATGAACAAGAAAATCGATGAATGTTCGAATGCATGATGATGGAATCGGCACATGCTTTTGAAGAAGAAGGCTGATAAAAACGAATGTTCTCTCTTTTTGTCGCCAGGTTCTAAATATTCGAGAAATCAACAATATCTTATTCTTTTCAAAAGTAACACTTGCGGTCGATCGCTATTGCATATCGAATTAAGTGTTTCCATGAGATTATTGTACGATTGAATGTTTGCTTGATTATGTTCTTCTCGAATTTGATCATGTATTTCCACTTCTTTAAGTTCTAACGGACGCCAGAGAGCGACCGCTGCACGTATGGATATGTCGTTGGTATCCTCGATGATTGCGGGTGTATCGAACTGTTTGGTAATTTTCTCCACAATTTGATCGATCAGAATTTGTGTGCTGATCTTAGTGGCATGCGTTGTTCGTGCAATTGATGGCCACAGTTTTTCAAGCAATGGCCACGAATGTTTTATAGGCAAGAAAAGGGCATCATCACCAAATAGAATGTATAAACAACCCTAATTAATGAAATACACCAATGATTTGAAAGAAACAACAAGGAACAAACTTTGATTTCGTCATGATCAGCTTCACCCGGTGCATTAAGAAGTTCCAGGATACGATCGACAACTACGTTGTATGAAAAGAGATAACGCTGTAACATGGTGAATAGATAGATTTGTGCAATGCATCGAACCTAATACATAACGTCTGTAATGACACGTGTCTTTCTAACACCTCACTTACATTACTGTATCGATTAATAGACAATTCTACTAGTTTGAGTATCACTTGTTTATCGATTTTCGTCAGCGATTGATAATTATCGATTGAAAACGACTGTAAAACAACAAGCGCTATCACATTGCAACTCCTTTTTTTCCAGTTACCTGTATTTCTTTTGCTAGACGTTTGATTATCACAAAACGAGGATGATATCGTCTGCCGCTGAGTTTGTTTTCAAATGAATATTTCAATATATCAAAATCATTGTTTAATTTAGTATAATCGTTCGCTAATAATCCAAAATAGCACGATGGCAATGAATAGATCTAGAATCAGTCACAAATAAGTGTAGATTCAGAAGGTTGACAAATACCTGCAGAGCTGTTGAAATTGACGAGGCATCGTCCGAGTGTTTGTCGACTAGATGATCTATTAAAGCAAGTAAAATCAATATGAATACTTATTTCATTCTAAGAGAACGAACCGAGTAACTTTCCAATATCGATAATCAAACGCATTCGCAGATTTTCTTTGAATTCTAGAGCCGAATTCAGCTTTGAATGGTTATCAAGTTGAATTTTGATTTACTTACTTGGTTCTTTGGCATAGACTGTAAATTGAGCTTTGTATTTGAAATCGAAAGGAACAACTGATAGTGCACTAATAAGAATAAAAATCTTGTCTGATTGATAATTTCTTGTCCAAGAACTACATACAGATCTAATACTTCTTCACTGTCAATACGCGGCACCATTCGTAAGCACCCCAGGGCGATGAAATGTACAATTGTAAGAGATCGAAGTCGTTCATCGTTGGACATATTCGAGCTTTTCTCATTCAACAGTGCCAGTTCCGGATAGATGAATGTCTCGACAAGTTCACATGCAAAATCCACTTCTTCTGCACTTGGTATATGGAATTGAGGCTGTAACTTGTCAAATTCCACCGGTTGACCCCATGCCTGAACGGAATGTGACTTTCTTTTCCTGAAAAATCAAAAAACTTACTCTAATAGGCAAAAAGTCGACGAATGGTTCATCGATGTTTTCCACTGTTAACCGATAATCGATTGGATAGACATACGAAAGAGATTGAAGCAAATTCTTTGCTGCATGGGCAACAGCTTCATATGATTCTTTATGAATGATATGAATACACCGATGAAAAACGGATAAAATCATCGATTTGTAGATGAGCAAAGTACCACCACGAGCTTCGAGAAGTTTGGAGAAGAGAACTAAACACCAGGTGAGCTCCATATCACCTTTGTGATCAGTCAGTATGGTTGTTTCAGAATCATGCACTATTTTCTCAATGCGTTCGCATGTTTGTGGCATGAGATACTTGAGTGTTTCAATTGGATTCACCTCGAGAATGGGTTGAACTAGATCCGTGAGTAATTTGCTAACTCTTGGTGTAAATGATGAAGCGGCAAGAAAGTTCGTGATCTTTTCTCGGACCACCTAAACATATAAAATAGATCATCATGATTTTCTCGTTTTGCTATCTACCTGAAAGATTTTACTACTACACTGTTGAACGATACCAGTGACTACTGATGTGAGTTCTATCTCAGTAGTGTCATCGTTCACATTCGTTACTGTACGAGCATTGGACACTTCAGTCGAGAGAATATCAATCATTTGAAAAGTTCGATTGAGAAATTCAGTGATGAAATCTTCGAATTTTGCCGTTGACAAACATACTTCTTTTTCGATCTGTGCAAGCATCAGACAATACTTTATTTGAAACAACTAACTATGAATCTATCCTACCTGAGTGAGATCGTCTCGAGTATTGATTGCTGATGAACAATCGACACAAGTAATGAGCATAAGAATTGCTTTTAGAAATTGAAAAGTTTCGCTCGTCTTCTCGAAATCGTTTGCATCAATGCCGGGCAAAACAGACATCAGCAAGGGTAAGACATATGTTTGACCTTGAGGAAAATTCGGCGTTTGTTGAACGATTTGGCGTGTGATGCCTGACAGGCAAGTCAAGATCGATGTGAAACGATGCGGTTCAGTTATACTATCGACGGATGAAAAAAGTCTATAAATGAAAAACGAAACATTTGATCAATTGAATAAATAAAAGAGACAGACTGTTCAACAATAGGTGGCACGACTAGTTCTGGTCGAAGCATGGCCAGATTCCGAAATGCCATTGCTGCATCTTTCAGATTAGTTTTATTGAAAATGGAAATGAACACACATTCTTTGACACAATTCACAAAATCAGTGATGTCCT